ACAGGAATACACTCCTGATGTGTTTACACAGAGGATTAAAAATCCTGAGACTTTTAAAAGTAAGGTTGGACTTTTTCCTGCTTTCCAATCAAGCAGGCTCCTCCTCAGATTTTTCCACCTTCCTGTGGGTGACTTGCTCTTTTGCTTTTCTGGGGCACATTGAAATGGGAACCTTGTTTCTTCTGAAGGTCCCTCATGGCTGGGCTGTGCAGGCATCCTCAGCCTCTTCGTCTCTTCTCCTTCAACCAGTTTTCTGCTTCTTTCTGTGCTATGTACAGAATTCGGTGAAAGTGTGGAGGCTTCCTCTGCTACTGACTCCAGCCCTCTCCAGTGCCCAATAAAGAGGGCAGCCTTATGGAAGAACAAGGGAATCCTCTGGGGCAGCTGCACACTTGGAAGGGAGGGCCAGCTGGGGAGGAACACTGAAGTTTTGTGTGTCCTGGTTTGTATTTTAAGGGTCACCATGGGTGTTTCCACTGTCATTTCTACAGGAAGAGAAGAGCAATGAGCATTTTCTCAGACATGAGAAAACTGCTAATCCATCACCTCTGTCATGTCTGAAATACCCCAATTACATACTGCAGCTGCAGCACTGGGGGCTGAGGAGTTTTAATGGAGATCTCTGAGCTGAGAAGGAAGGGAAAAATGGGTCACAAAAAACACACCATTAGCCCAGCAGAAAAGCATTCCATAAATGAGTATTAACATCTTAATCTGTAACAGCCAGAAGAGTTATTTGAAGCCACCCTTAAACCACTGTAATTTATTGGCATTTTGGAGCCTTAGTACAAAAGAGAATAATGCAATTATGGACACATTTCTAGTAATACATCTCTTGCAGAGTGATGGAGATATTTATTACAGAGCAAATAATTTTAACAGCTCTGAAAAAACAAAAAAAAGGTTTTAAGAAAATATAGCAGTTGCTTACTGTCCAAGTAACTGCTTTCTAAGGCAATGTTTACTTTTAAAATATTGCAAATGGATAAAGCCTTAGCCAGACCATATACATTACCTCCAGGGAGAAAGGTGCAATGTTTTGAGATGTTTGTGTTTGGCACTTCAATGATAAAGAATACCCCTTTGTGCAGAGGCATGTGTATTTCCACTGGAAAGCTGCACAGTGGACTATCCACCTGAAAGGAGAACATGTTGATATTTTATTTATCTGCTTTTCCCCTTCTGTTAGATGAGGCTGGCTATGGAAGTGCAGCTCAGGAATGTAATTCCATGTTTATGTATGTTTTTGGCTCAAGAGCTATCTGTCTCCTTTAGCATTCAAGGGTGATATAAAATGTAACTGAGGGATCAAAAATGTAGCTACACAAAAGCTTTGCTCAGGAACTGGATACTACACCAGTGTGCAACTATTTCAGGAGACTAATAGTAGCCCAGTGGCATAACAGAGGATGGCAAACACATAGTGGAGCCAAAAAAGAATTTAATCAAAGGATTAAGCAAAATAAAAGACCTCATCTGACCTGCCCAGGGGTTAAAAATGTCTATGGTGTTGCATGTATAATCTTCAATAAAGATTAAGGCACCTTCTTTGCTAGACTAAATAAGCCATCTCTATCTCTGTTGAGATTCCTATTTTTCTCTTTGGATAATGTGGGTTTATAACATAACCTGTGCTATAGGCATGATCTAATTTACTGGGAAACAAGTGAAAAATTTAAAATAACCATAATCCCTGTCAGTGTTTCTCGGATTTTTTTTTGTGGGAGGGTCTCTTGCTCTGTCTCTTTAAAGTCTCTAGGAATCTCAATCTCACAGCCCCTTTTTTCAGCAGCTACATTACTACTCATGATTCAACATAGCTGCAGTTCAGGCTATCATTTTTTTTCTACTTTGGTGTCAGAATTTCAATTCTTTAGTATGCATTGGGTGCTCATCTCACAGCAAATGCACCCTGGCATTGCTGATGGCTTTCCACAGCCCCTAAGAGATCAAGCTGTAGACTGCAAATAGCCACATGTCAGATGTTATCTACAACATTCATTTTTTCCAAAGTAAGTGAAATTGATAAAAGGTACAATTATTTATCCCAATGAATAACAAGTTTACCTCTGTGTCTGTGTATTCCACATCCCTGTCCATGATGGTACATGTGTACTCAGAGAAATTCCTGCTGCTCTCCCAGGACAGTTCCATTTTTCTCCAGTCCATATTCACATTTGTAATCAGTGATTCCTGTGTGTCTGCTGAAAGTGTTGCAGCATAAGTTCATTAAGGATATGCTATTGCTTTTGTTGAATAGTAGAGGATAGTATCTGTCAGGCTTAAGATAGCAATTGCCAGTTTCATTACAAGTATCTCTGATAAATGAAGAGTTAAACCTCTTCTCTCAGATTATATCTGCAAAAACATACTTACACTCCATACATTGGATATCAGCATGCAGGGGATGAAATAGCATCATATACCACCAAATCATACAAGTGAATCCAAGAGTATCAAACATATTTCCTTCTCTGAAAAGAGATAATGAAACCTTCAGAAAGAAAAAGGAAACAATAAGAAAAATAAAAGAGAAAAGAAAATCATGTTGAAGTGTATTTTGGTTTGCAAAACTTAAATATTTTAAAATATTCTTTAGAAAAGTCAGGCAGAGGGTGTGCTTCAGGATGTCTGGCAGGCACCTCTTTGAAAGAACAGAATAGCCATGATACTGCCTATAACTAAGTAGTTTGAGATAAAGAGGTCACAGACTCCCATGATGATAAGTACACGCACTGTATGCAGTGCAGAGATCATGACTTAAAGTTACTTTTTCCCACATATTTATCATATTTATCTGTAGCATCAGAAAGTCAGGTTTTCTTGCATGAAAACAATTGTCCTGTGACCATCGCAATGCTGTACTCTGAATTGGTTGCTAGAATGGTGTTGCTAACACACCAGTGTTTTGGCTGTTGCTGAGAGGTTCTGGCACAGCATCAGGGTTGTCTCTCCAACCCCAACCCACCGACTCTGCAGAGGCCAGTGGGACAGGGGTGAGCCAGAGGCTGGGAGGGAACATGGCCAGGACAGCTCACCCCAGCTGATAGGGATATCCCATATTATATGGCGTCACGTTCAGCAATAAAACCTGGGAGAAAGAAGGATTGGGGAGGGATGAGGCATTTCTTGTCCAGATATTTGACTTCCAAAGCAACTGCTATGTGTCCTTTGGCCCCCTGTCACAGGGAGTGGCTGGATAGTATCTGCTGGGGGGAAGTAGAGAGTAAGGAAGAGGGGGAGTGAGAGAGCAGCTGGTGGGCAGCTTGGTGGCCAGCCAAGTTCAGGACATCACAGTATTTTTTCCTGTTTGCTATCACAAACTCATCTCCACTTTTCAAACTACATAACTCCCACAGTTCTTAGAGGTTTGCATCCATACAGAATAGTTTGCTTCAAATTTTTGCTTGCTTCAGTGTCAGAAACCAAGGCATCAGATATTCCAGATCACTGTAGGCAATTTAAATTACTAAGGAAGTGTGAGTACATGCAAAGGTTGACTCCACATTCATTCATATGCTATGGAGGACTGAGCAAAGCTAGTCAAACAATGGCATCAGCTCTTGTCAAACATTTCTCATCTTATCTACATTTTCCTTCTCTCCAAGGAGGTTAAAACTCTTCAGAAAATATTTCTCGATTCCCATCTATATTTTTTTCTACATGAAGAAGCAACTCTGGTTAAATTTTTGTTTGTTTTAGAATTAGTGCAGTGCAACTTCGTAATAGCAATTTTCTTGATTGCAGGTAGTACTAAGGATAATTCTAAAACTGAATTAAATTCTTACAAACTCAGGAAAAAGAGAAACATGGTAATATTTTGTTACTAGTCAACCTTTCTGTATTAATTTTTATGGTCATTTCAGAATGCTGATTTCAAACTGACTCCACTTGTGGTGAAAGCAAAAACCCTCCCTGATGTTCCAAGGAAGTAATTCTGTAGTCTTGAATATTTTCAGAAGACATGTCACATTTCCTGGAAATTGGCTTGATGTGACATATCCATCATGGTCCTTGGGATTCAAGCTGGGCCAGGACACAACGCAGGGGTTGCAACACAGACAGACTCTTCACTGTAACCTGCTTATCTCTTGCAGCATCCATATTTGTAAGTCATCATACTACAGTAAGGATGTGGCCAAAGCTGCTGGGAAGTGATACTGAAGAATCTCGAGTACAAACAGTATGGAGGACTGTCCATGAAATGATCTGTGAGATATTGGTGTGAATAGTTATTTACACTTTCACATGCTCTCAAGGATTTCCCCAGAAATGCACATGAGAACCTTGAGACCTGTTGTCCTTCTTAATCATATTTTACTCCATTTTGTTCAGTCACTCAACATTTTCCCCTTCCTTTCCTCATCTTATGTTCCTTTTCTAGGCATTTGTTTTCCTACTCTTTGGTAACTGTCTGCTCACCTTTCCTTTATTTTCTTTGTTTCATTTTTCTTGAGATCTCCCTTTCTCTGTTCTGATTACTCCTATGCTTTCAAAATCTCCCTCCTACACATGACTGCAGCCCCATATTGTAAGTACCCTTCATGCCTTCTCATGGAAGTGCTCATCTGGGACACTGCCATAGGAATCATCCTGTCTGCTTAGAGAAATGTTTGCTGGCATCATTGTCTCCATCCTCTGGACATTTCATTGGACATGCAGTGGGAATAGCAGGGCCTGTAAGCATTCACTTTCCTCTTAAGAAATGACCATTCCAGCTGAATGTCCCAACACATAGCCAGATCCTCAGGGCTTTTTCTGCCTCTCAGGCAGGATGAGCGATATAGGAGCTGTGGTGAACCCTCAGCCATTTAGTTGAGCAATCCAGAGCTTCTGTGTGGTGGCCAAACAAGTGTCTCCAGTATCATATTTTTAGGAGTTTTCTGCCTCCAGGGCCTCCACCCTCTTTCAGACTGGTCTTCTTCAGACAGATGTGGTAAAGCTCTCTCTGGTCTGAAGTCAACTCAGTGTTGAATGTGCCAGAAAGAACACTCATGTCAGAATGATTGTGAGTGTTATTTGGAGGATCAGACCAGAAGAACCACACATATTCTGTTTTAAGCAGTATTTCCTCATATTTCATCAAAATAGAATTTATTAGGATGAAAATGCCCAAACTAGATGATTTTTTCTGCCTTGTCTCTTTCCTCTTTCTCCCCTGGCCAGCCTCAGAAGTGTGTGTCTGTCCTGCTACACAGGGGAGGGCCCCAGGGGCTCCTCAAGCACCTGGTTTCCCGACTCCTCAATTATCAGCTCACTCCCTAGCTCTCTCCAGGGCAATTTGTTATAAACCAAATCTATCCACCTTATCAATGTGTCAGAAGTAAAATACAGTCAGGTAGTCTGTAGTGGTTTCTACAGAAAGCATCCACTAAATACTGACTTAAGCACTATCAATTCTTACCCTCTTAGTCTATTGTTTTTGCTCTTAGGCTGTGAGTGCAGAATGGTACCAGAAAATGTCACCTGAGACCAGACTTATTTGCTTCAGTGTCTCTAGGAAAATTACTTCTGCCCATGATACACTTCCAGAAATGAAACTTTGTATTTTACCCACAGGGTAATGCGAGGATAAACTGATACATTGTCAAGATAAGGAGAATAGCATACACTGGCTAAGCCTTCCTGGAAGCACTGAAATAAGAATAGAAACCTTACAATGCATACCAAGCAATGAAATATTACTATCCGACTTCTGCCTAAATACAACTGTTTCAGTTTTCAGGTCAGTATTCTGATTCCTGTAGATGATACAAAACTGGGACTAGTGGGTGATAGTGACTGTTTTGCTTCAGAGACCGGGAGGAGCTGGAGAAATGGGATGACAAGAATCTTTTGGAATACAGCAAAGAAAGGTGCTGAGTCCTGTGCTCCGGGCACAGGAGCAACCCTGGCACTAGCAGAGGCTGAGATCCACCTGGAAAGCAGTTTTGCAGAGACAGCACAGGCTGACCACGGGCCAACAATGCGCCCTTGCAGAACGGAAGATCAAAGGCACCCTGGGCTGCATGAGGCAGAGTGCTGCCAGCAGGTGTTCCTGGAGTGCCTGGCCTTGTTCTGGTATCCCCAGAAGAAAGATATGGAGCTACTGGAGGGAGTCCAGCAAAGATGATTAAGGGCTCTGACATATCTTCTCAGGAAGCTGAGAAATCTGGGATTGTTCATCCCGGAGAGATGAAGGCTCAGCGGGATGTTATCCATGTGTACAAATACCCAGCTGTGGGGAATGAGAAAGAGCCAGGCTCTGCTCAGAGCTGACAAGTGACTGGACAAGAAGCAATAGGCAAAAACTGAAATAATGGAAATTCAACTTAAACACAAGAAAACACCTTTTGCTGTGAGGTAGTCAACTACTTGAACAGGTTTTCCAGGAAAGCTTTGAAGTCTCCAGTGTTGGAGATACTGACTGGACAAAGCCCTGAGCAACCTGCTGTAGCTGACCCCGCTCTAATCAAGGCTTGAGACAGGACAATTTCCAGAAGTGCCTTCCAGCCTCAACCATCCCATGATTTCGTGATTTACTTTTTTCTCCCCCAAGAAATAGAAATCTCCATATTTCTACTTAGAGCAATTTATAGAAAGGATACAGAAAATAACATTTCTTTCAGTTACTGAAAAATAGATGTCAGATAAAAAATGTCAAATAATGCAGTAGATATCATAGACATTTCATAGTCTTCCTTGGGTCATGCAGAACTCTTTAGAAAATTTGTATATACACATTTCTACTTTTAATCAAATAGGCAAAAGAATCCCCAACATTTTCTCTAAAATGCCTTAAGGTCAAAGGACACCAATCTGGATTTTGTACATGTATGACTGTACCTAACTTAATCCCTGGAAAATATTTGTGTCCTGAAAAAAGTCTTCTGTGGCACAAAAAATCAACACACAACATAGAGAGACATACCTTCTCTTGAAAAACTCTCCTCATTTATCTTGTTTGATCTTGGTTTGCAACAAGGAGGACACTTGTAGTTGTATTCACATGCAGAAATCTCTAAGTGTTTTCCTCTGCCAGTTAGCTTTGTTTTAAATAACAAATGCTGCAAGTTAGAAAGCTGCTCAGTTTATAATTTCCCTTACTGCTTTTTGAGCTTTCTTGTGTTTCCTGATTGGCAGATGTTAACAACTTCACATGAAGAGATCATGCAACTAACTCTTCCTTCCTGTTATGTCAGATGAACTAAGCATTAATAGTCACAATATACAAACATATTACCCAAAAATACAGAAATACTCAATAGAATCACAGTATATCAACATGCTCATAGAAACACCCCTTCTATAAATAAACAGACTTTCATAAATAATATGTTCTGGAAATAACAGCAGTGTTGTGTGACTGGTCCATGTTTAAAGTGACTGCTTGTATATGTTGGTTATGGCCCCTGTATGAGCCCAGGTGAGGAAGATCAGTCCTTAGCAGGTATATATAAACATATATATATATATATATATATATAAAAACAGCCAAGAAAGTTCTGTATGGCATATTTTCAGGCAAAGAAATGTCAAGAAAAATACCAACCCCAAATTTCTGAACTTTCTCACTGCCCAACTGTGGGTTGTTTTTGTTCTGTTCATCATGGGCTACAATATCATGTTAGGTGAAAAAGTGTTTGCAGAAATTAAAAGAAAATGTCCACAGCATTTACTGAATAACATAATGTCACATTTGCAAAAATCTTTGCAGTCATGTAAATATGTGAAGAATAATACATTTTGTTTGCTTTAACTTCCAGCGACTTCAGATGTGGCTCTGACTGTCACTTCCCCATTTGTTTTACATGACATCTGACATGCAGCTATGTAATCTGCATGTAATGGATTTTTTTTATTTCCTGCCGTTCTTGAATGCTTTTAGCAAGCAGGATTTCAGTTAACCCCTACATTCTACTCCCAGCACAGGCACAATAGAAGGAAGGTGAATGATTCCCTAGGCTTCTAAGGAGAGATGGAGGATCCTTAGTAGTTATTCTGTTATAGGAAGAACTATTTTTAACCCCACTATCATTGAACCAAAATTGTAGGGGGAGTTTGTTTGTTTGTTTGTTTGACTAGTGTATGTGCTCAGATCCACCAATTGCAAACTACTTCACAGACTTCAAATTTTAAATATCTTTGCTTTTCAGTCCACACTGCTCAGTCTTTCCCACCTTTACCCAGTGATTCCCACTGGAAGGACATGTTAATATTATTTTCCATTTCAAATCCTTGGGTGAAAAAACCTAGGTAAGTGAAATGAGCAACAGTTTAGTCACAGCATGTGTGAGGCAGGGCTCAGCTGCAGAATTTTGTCTCTAGAACCACATACCAGGACTGGTTCAGTCCTGGTCAGCTTTCCAATACCTTGGGAACAGGACATGTGTGTTTCAAATCTACCCACTAAAGGACTTCATTTACTATTCTACGTAACCTAAAAGAAAAACATCTAGTACACGTGTAGTCCCAGTTCAGTGTGATCTGAAACTCTCTGTTCATCAAATATGCTCTTTTTGGGTACCACTGCCACCTTGAGTAGCTTTTTTAAAGCATTATGCTTCCATGCCATGCATATTTGTGATGCAAACTGTGTGTCAGTGTGCCTGATTAATTTTGATGAGGGAATTTGCAGGCTGCTGTGATGGTATGTCTGGTGAGGTTCAAGGTGACATGAAGGTGGCACCTGACCAGTGCCTTCAGGCTGCCCAAACAGTGGCTGAATTAGTTTTAGCAGATCCATTTGTAAGCCATATCTCTGGCAGTGTTCAAGAAGTGACTGGATGTGGCACATAGTTACATGGCTTACTTGAAAAGGTGGTGGTGTTAGGTCAAGGATTGGGCTCAACGATTTTTGACGTATTTTTCAGCCTTAATCATTCTGTGATTCAATAATTTTGAACTGTAACCTGGACTAATTTATCAGGTTTCTGTCTGTAACACCTTTCTTGATTCTGTTAAGTATGTTATCCTTTTTCAGGAGAAAGCAAGAAACAAATGAGGAGCTTGTTTAAGTTCTATTTAACAAGACTGCAATGCCATCTCTTGAGTGTCTTTATACTGTCTTTATTATACTTTACTAATCTCTTCCTCACATTAAGCCACTGAATGGTTGCTCATAGCTCATGGTAAGGTTTTGGGGACTGGAGCCAAACTATGCCTCAATCTGGCATTTTTTCCCAAGAGAAGAGTTACTGCACAAGGTTATATAAACCAGTGCAGTCTGTTACAAACCATCTCTCTTTTAGCAAGTTATTGTGAGCATTTCCACTCTGACCACTGCTGCATGCTGGGAAAAATACAAAGATGGTTTACAAGTTAGAAATTTGCTTTTTTTTGTTCTGACCAGCTGCAAAAAGCTTCCCAGGTGAGTCTTTGACCAAAAGGTAATCATTAACTGCGTCAAAGGCACTAAGTGTGCCGAGAGCTGTTTGTGTTCAGCTACAGTATAAGCTGGAGAAAGAACACCACTGGAACATGTCCAGGAACAACTGTTCCCAGCATTAGTTTAGCCAGGATTTACAAGTAATGTCCTGAACAGCTCCTGGACATAGTCCAGAGGTTAGCTCAGGCCAGTGCTAATTTGTAAAGGTGGTTTGCATGTGTCCACTTTATTCAGGGGTTTAAGAAAGCATGTCTGGACTCTTCCATTTGATTTGGCCCCTGTGCAAGAAAATAGTCCCAGGAATGTTTAGTCTAATAATAAAACATCTAGTATCATTATAAAATTAGTCTAATAATCAAATAGAAATGTTCAAATGTCTAGTGTAAAATCTGAGTGAATCTCATTTTTCTCGTTGCCCATGTGTACTTGAACAGCTCCAAAGAAACTTCTAGTATGAATTGACCCATTTTTGACAGTAGAACAATGGAATTCAGGCATCAGAAATTTTAAAAATTGATTTCATCATAAATTTTAAAATTGTATTAATTTCAATAAATTAATTGTTAATCTTTTTAATATGGGACAGAAAAACAATTATTTTTCCTTAAGGTTGAAATGTAACTAAAACTTCCTGAATGAAATATTTCAATCATATTTACAAATGAGAAGATATCCAATAAGGAAAATTTATCCAAACAGTTAAAATTAGCCAAAACTAAAAGAAAATACAATGGCATTTAAAAAGATTGCATGTGAGGCGTCATTCTCTCTTGACTGCATTGCTGTTTTCTACAAGAAAAAGAAGAAAGTGAAGAAAGCCTATATATTATTCCAGACTTTCCACAGGAATATACAATTGCGCAAGAAATGCATTTTCAAACTCCTCCATTTTTCTTGGTTATCTCACGATGTCAGCAACTAATACTATCTCTTCCTTTTCAGATACTATTGACTGAATTTTGTTCTCCATCAGCTGAAAGGAAAAGAAAAACTTCCATCAGTTTTATACATAATGTTAGGTCATCCTCTACTTATGCACAATTCTGAGAGTATTTCAGCTGCTTTTGCTCTGTGAGACCAACACAGTCTGTCCTGTTTCCTTACAAAACCCTCTTTTGAATTGTTTTCTGTGTCACCTTCTTTTCTTTGCTGCATATGTAACTTGCTAGTGGGCAAGCAGGCAAGGTGTGCAGCTGGAGGGATTCAAGGGGGCAGACTGGAATGGCAGAAACCCCGTGGTTCTGGAAGAGAACTGCATTTCACTTCCCTTAAAAAACCTGCTGATTTTCTTTCATTTTTCTTCATATGAAAATATGAATATGGCAAAGAGAAGAGTGTTCCTCTGTAATAAGTTCCTTATCATTTTAAAAATTCAGCCAATAGAGTTTTGTATGTATTTCACACTAATGTATGTATTTCATTATCTAATATAAAAATAGAGAACATACCTCTGGATTTGTATCAGCCACTGTAAAAAAATCAGGTTTTGGTCCTGGGATTTGTGGAAATGCTGCCTTCCAACAGCCAGTCCTGAAAATCAAAATGTATTGAATCCAAAATTAAAATTGAATAACCATAATGTGGCAACACCATTGCACCCTTGAACCAGCTCTTATCTTCCTCTTCTGTCTTAGAAATGAACTGAAAAATATACATAATCTCAACACAGAATGAACATGTGTCAGGAAAACATTAATAATTTGTATGGTAATAGATTAATTTTTGATTGAAGATTTACTAGTAGTAAATTTCCTTCTTTGACAGCAAAAGAAATTTGTCCTGCAATGTCACTACCAACAGTGAAAAGTGGTGGTAAAAATTTTAACAAGTTGAGAGAGCTGTGTCTTCTCTATACTATTTCTATGCAAAGTGCATCATGTATATCAGAATACACTTTTTCTTTCTTTTTCTGTTTCACTTAAGTGGTTTATTTTATCCTACAGAGACACCTCCACCTTATTTGTTTAAAAACTTTAGGTGTTACACACACACACACACACACAGAAAATAAATGCACAAATTAAGCTTACCTTTTGCAAAAAGAAAAAGTGATGATTGCCATTAAGGGTGTCACAACTGCCACCCCAAGTAAAATCCATACTGAAGGAGATATAATTTCATAATTTCCTGAAAGAGAAACTTACATAAATTAGTAGTAGTAGTAGTGGTGGTGGTGGTGGTGGTAGTAGTAGTCATATAAGAATAGATCATAGAATTACAGAACACAGAGTAGGCAGGGATGCCTTCCACTGGAGCAGATTGCTTAGACCTCCAGCCTGGCTTTGAACAATTTCAGGGATGGGGCACCCTCTCTGGACAACCTGTGCCAGTGCCTTATCACTCTCACAGTGAAGAATTTCTTTCTAAAATCTTACCTAAATCTACACTCTTTCAGTTTAAAGCCATTTCCCCTTGAACTACATCTACATGTCCTTGCACAAAGTCCCTCTCCAGCTCTCTTGTAGGGTCTTTAGGTACTGGATGAGTGCAACAGGGTGTCTCTCCAGCCTTCTCTTTCCCAGGTAGAACAACCTAAACTTTCTCAGACTGTGAGAGGTGCTCCAGCCCCCTGATCCTTCTTGCGGCCCTCCTCTAGACTTCCTCCAACAGCTCAATGCCCTTCCTGTGCTGAAGAATCAAGAGCTGGATTCAGGGTTCCAGCTGGGGTCTCAGCAGAGCAGAGCAGAGGGGCAGAATCCCCTCCCTGGCCCTGCTGCCCACACTGCTTTGGATGCAGCCCAGGACATGTTTGGCTTTCTGGGCTGGGAGTGCTCATGGCTCTCAGCCTCTCACCCAGCAGCACCCCCAAGTCCTTCTCAGCAAAGCTACTGCCAATTCCTTCATCCCCCAGACTGTATTGATACCAGCAGTTGCCCTGGCCCTGGAGCAGCACCTTGAACTTGGTCTTGTTTAACTTCATGCTGTGTCAAACATCTGCTGTGGTGACTGACTGTGGTGAACCTTTCAGACTGAAAGGTTTTGCTTGGTATATAAATGAATTCTGTAATTCATCACTTTAGCAGAAATGTCTGATGGGAAGAACTAACATTGATCTTAATTGTTGCCCCCCTACAGTAAGCAGGAGCTCACTACAGCTGCAAAGGTGTAATTTTTAATGTTATTTGCAGTGTTAGAATGTTAAGAAATCTATTAAGTGTCTTCCTACTCTTCCCTGTAGTGTGGTGTGAAGCAAAACTTTTGCCAATCCCTTGTGCCTTTGTGTGTCCGTAGGTGTGAGGTAGACAGGACATCTCTGGGGGAAGGGTAGCCCAGGACATGGATTTGTTCTTACCAAACTCAACGGGTGCACTCCATTCCCCCCAGGCTGGGTTCACAAAGCAGACACTTCCAGCTGCTCTCATTTTCAAGACATACTTTTTTCTTGTATTGGATCTTAGAAATATGTTGCTATTTCCCCCTTCCTAAAAAAGACACCCAAAAAACTGAGCTGCTTTTCATAGTTCCATGCCTGTGTTGACAATATGCATGTTCCATTTACCAGTGAAAGCTTTAAGAGGCTATGAAAGCACTGCTTATTAAAGAAGGTGGTGTTACAGAGAAAAAAAAGGCATTATTGTTATTTATATAATATATATGCAAATATGTATCTCAAAAATAACCTGACATTCATTAAACTTTTTACATTTAGAAGCATTTCATCTTCTACACTGTAAAAGTGTAACCTGTGATTTCTTATGATATGCTTTTATTTATTGATACTTTCCCTAAGCACATAGAGAGGTAGAAAAACATCTTGTTTGAACCATCTCATTTTAGTACTGCTAGAACTGAGTGATTTGAGGAATAAGGTGTCTGTGCACCTGCCTTTACTCTTTGCATTATGAGTTTTCAGAAAAAGCATAACTTTCCAGACAATCCTGTAAAATAAGTAGATGACTGCAATACTTAATGTGACTGGAATTTACTGCAGTACTCTTGCTCTTGGAGACTTTTGCATAGAGGTGAGATGTGCAAGCTGCACTGATTTAAAGGAGGTGCAGCATACCTGGATGACAGCCTCCATCCCAAAAGGACTTTTGTGGGCTATGTTTTTTATAAACAAAATAGAATTCCTAGGAGATACTTTATATTTTCTCTGTTGTTAGTGATGTGTTACTTCAAAGTATATTCCAAATATTTGAGAAGGAGAGTGGACAATATAATGAAAAATGGGAGATTTTTCAAAATACTTACAGAAAAACAGTGAAGTTCTGCCCCAGAATGCATAATAAATTACATATGCCATGATGATTTAGCAGTTTGATGCATTTGTGAAATCCATAAATAAGGTTCCCATAAAGCACAGGACACTGAGCACATACTCATGATTTAAAGGTATTCGCATACTATTTGCTTTTCACAGTTGACAATGAAATTAACATGTATTGCTGATTAATAGAACAAACAGACTCACTTGTATGGAAGTATATATGGGTTTTCCTTCAGGATTATCCTGTAAATTGAAAGAAAAAGAAAAGCAACTAACTTTATTTTTATCATTGCTTATGTTTCAATAATAATTAATTTTTATCTACTGTCCCATTTTACTGCATTCCCTTTCTTATGGACTTCATGGTTTGTTCAGAAGAACTAGCAATTTGTCTAACATTTAGTATCTAATATCTAATTCACCTACAATGCCAAGTTTATATAGCAATTAATTCCGCTATGGAAAATTATTTGCTTTCCTTGTCATCACAGTTTCAGACTGAAACACAAAACAAATCAGACCTAAATGAAAACTATAAGTTTATTTTTATAGACACCAGGGGGAAAAAAAAAGACAGAAGATAAAGAATCTGTGAAATAAACTTTTCTGTTTACATCTAACGTTTTAATATTACAGTGGCACTGTATATAATTGTAAATACTATGTAAATATTGTTTTGTTTTCTTTTAGATGAAAATATTTGGGACTAGCATGGATTCACAGATATTTTAGATTGCCCTCCACTACATTTTTGATAGATAGAATAAAATTTGCTCATCTTATTTGAATAGCCAAAATAATTACCACATAATGTACTGACCACACACAACTAACGACTGCAGACTATATAATCTCCATTAGATAACTAGTTATGTATTTTTGTAATTATTTTGCAATACACCATTTTAGAATAAAATTAATCCAGATTTATTTTTTCAAATAATTGCATGCATGCCCATGCAGTATCTGAACATGAGGCTGTTCAGCCTGGAGAAGAAAAGGCTCTGGGGAAAGCTTCCAGCACCTTCCAGCACCTAATGGGTCCTACAGAAAGGCTGGAGAGTGATTTTTCACAAGGGTATGTATTGATAACACAGGAGGGATGGCCTTAAGATGAAGGAGGGTAGGTTTAGATTAGATATTAGGAAGAAATTCTTTACTGCTCTGGTGGAGAGGCACTGAGACAGACTGTCCAGAGAAGCTGTGGATGTCCTTGGAATTGTTCAAGGCCAGGCTGGATGGGGGTCTGAGTAACTTGGTCTAGTGAAAGGTGTTCCTTCCATGGCAGGAATTCAACTAGATGGTCTTTGAGGTCACTTCCAACCCAAACCGTTCTATGATTTTATAAAGCAATCTGCTGTCCAGGACACCTTCTAGTATATGCAGTCAAGCTAAATTATGCACAGGGATCAATCTAGGAGAAATATCTGGCCAATGAACCCCTTGTTCTTCTTTATAGGTGCAGGGGTAACCAGCAAGATTTCAAGGGTGATTGCAGAGGGCTGGGGGGATGGTGAAGGGCAGGAAGTCCAGATGGTGTCTCCCCAGGCCTTCCAGTGAGAGGGAAAGGCTTGAGCAGAATTGCAGTCATCCAGCAGGTCAACACCTGGCTGAATAACCGCTGTCACAGACAGGGCTTTGTCTCTTGTCTTCTATGACCTTGGGATCCTTTTTGAGAAAGAGGGGCTACTGGGCAGGCATGGGATGCATCTCACCAAGTAGGGTGACTGTGTCCTTGCAAACAGGCTTGGTAACCTGGTCCTTCTACTGCTTATTAAGGAGTGTTTTGTATGCACAGAGCTCTGTCTGTAATGAACCAATAAGAGAACTTGTGTGTAGGCATCAGAGGACAGACCAGCAGAGTTGTTAATGCAGTAGGTGCCTGTTCCAGAACTCATGATCAGAAAAGAAAAGAAAAGAAAAGAAAGCTGATGAGATTTTCTACAGGAAACCTCATGGTCACAGGCTTTGGTACTCGAGGGAAAGTACCCTTAATGACCAAGTTACTTGTTGATCTACAAGGACAACCTCCTCAGAGCACAGGAATCATAGAATCATAGAATTGCTTAGCTTGGAAAAGACCTCTAAGATCATTCAGTAAAACTATTAACCCAGCACAGACAAGTTCACAACTAAACCATGTCTGCAAGTGCCACATTGCAGGGCTAAATGCGTAAGAACAATAAGGAGATGGTGATGGAGGTACAGCAGTAATCACATATTTATTACCTATAATGAAACTCTTTATGCTTTGTTAAGATCACTATTCTACATTGCAATATATCGTTAGCTATGTTGCCTTTGGCTGAATTTTCCCAAAACTTGTTGTGTATTATGTCCTTTATCCTAATCAGCCATGCACTTTTTGTGTGATAGCTCACAAGGTTATTCATGTAGGCATCGCACTTGGTCCTCATGAGGTGTCTCATAAACTGAAGCCAAATGTCCCTTGCCAAGGGCTGCTGCTCCACAGCTCTGGGGATCTCCTCTCTTGCTCCTTTAACTCATTCAGGAAACTACTGGGAAATCCTTTCTGGGATGCTGAGGTAATAAAAGTCTTCTGACCGTTGTGTGAATGTATCTGACACTGCTCGAATCCGGGCAGGCACCGCAACTGGTGGAGGCCAGTCCAATTCTGACACCTGGACTGAACACACAGCCATATGTTTTCTGAACACTTCAAGAAATGGTGATTCCATCACTCTTCTGAACAGTTTGTTCAAATTCCTGGCCACCCAAATACTCAATCTAAACCACCCCTAGTGCAACTTGGGGCCATCTCTTCTTTTCCTGTGGTTTGTTTCCTGGGAGGAGAGACTGACTCCCACCTGGCCACAACCTCTTTTCAGGTGGATGTAGAAATCATTAAGGTCTCCCCTGATCCTCTTTTCTCCAGGCTAGAGAGCCCCAGCTCCATCAGCCGCTCCTCATAAAACCTGTGCTCCAGACTCTTCACAGCTTAGTTGCCCTTCTCTGGACACACCTGAATGATCCATTTTGGTGTGCAGAAAATCAGGTAAGCATGCTAGGTGAGCATGGCAGGACATGAAGATTGAGTCTGAACTCAGAGACTAAAAGGAATTATACAAAATGTAGAAGAAGGGTTTTGGGAATAATACAAAGACATCATCTGCACATAGAGGAATGGTGTCAGGAAAGACAAAGCCAAGCTGGAGGCAAGACTAGTGAGGGAGGTGAATACGAGAAAGTTTTTGATGAGTTCACTGACAAGAAGAGAGGTTATGGAGAAAGCAGGCCTGTTGCTTACTGAATTGGGTGAACCTAGTGACAAAGGGCATAGTGGGGGTCTTTGGTGCCTTTTTAGCTCAGTTTCCCCTGCCAAGTTTTGCCTTTGGTTTTCTCAGATATTCTGATCTATAAACCCTAAACAAAAAACATCACTGAAGAAGAAGCACTTTTCCAAACATGAAAAAAATGTGATTGAAATTATCTTACTAGTGGTGTTATCCTTTTTCAAATTTTTTTTGTTTACTCCCAGTTCAAGAAACTTCAGTTGTGAAAAATAAAATTTAAAAGCTGATTGTAATGCAGCATTTGTTGGTCATAGTGTATTGGTAAAGACCCACAAGTTTACACCTGTCAGTGATAAAGCAATACATATGGCAGAAGAATTTTTTATGGGTGAATCTTCCAAAGATATTATTGTAGTTGCATCTTATAAGTGTGAAAGGACCTCACACTGCTCAATTGCTGGAATAATTGCTGCCCTTTGACTCAATTAGCTAGGTGAAAACTGTTAATGATGATGAAAAAAAGCTAGAAAATTCAGACAAGCTGTGATTTGAGTATTCCTTATAAATTGAGTATTACATATATAAAAAAATTATTAAAAAGTATTGCTTTACTGCAATAGACTTTTATTCCAGTGTCACACTGAGTTTTCAATAAGGTTTCTTCGTTACAACAGCCAAGTGATTCAGACAAGTGATGTTGTTTCATGGCAGTTAGTTGGTCTTGCAAAAAAAGCTCATCTGTGAAATAGTAAACCCAACCCAGACTAAGAAACTCCGTATTTCAGAAACCTAGGGAATGCCTTCAATCAGCCACTAAGTGGGTGGCCAAATCTCGTTGTAGTTCAGGAAGATTTTTCCTTTGTAGTCTCTGTCTGCCACCCTGTGGTCTTTTGATGCAGTTCTGCCGCAGTGGTTTTACATCTACTCTTGCAGTGGAACGCAGCAATCTCCTTCCCTGTTGCTGCCAAAAGACTTGTAAAGTCAAGGTCACCCCCTCACTAACCTGTCCTTAATCATACTGCCTTTCTGCTTTCTCTCACATTTATTTTCCTTTTATTTGTCATTATAAATCTTCTATTGGTGGATGCTTATACCTGGATAAGCTATTTGCATTTCATATATGGAGAAATTTCATTCTCTTCCATTAACTCAGTGGAGTTAATTGTTGAGTGAATGCACATTTCTCTTTTCACTATTTAAAGCCCAGCTCTGCCCTTCCATAGAAATCCAGTCTCCATTGGAAAGAGTCCAATCCAGGGCAACTAAAAAGGTTTTAGTGAAAGAAGTGCCTTCTCTGAGTGCTGTCGCAGACAAAGGTATGATATGTTTGAAACTTGATTAACCCTGCTTCTCCTCTGGGATTGTCCCAGGAATCCAGTGTCACTCCAGCAGTATCTTACTCAAGGGAGTAGAGATTTAAAAAAAAAAAAAAAAAATGCAGAATGGCAAAGCAGGATTTCATATGGACCTGAAAATTGCAGTCACAAAGGAATAAGGTGCTATGTATGGGGAAGGCCATATCATAGAAGAGAGACACTTTCTTTTCACTCATGTGTATTGGTAAATGCAAACATATGAATTAATGTAAGCGTAAGTGAAGACATTCTTACCTTATACTTTATGCTAATTTCATATTTAAAACACAAGTCTTTGTTAGAATGACTTATTTGGGGTCGTTGCCATTGAATTATGCAATCATTTTTAATTTCATCACAGTTGACTGTGATATTTGATGGAGGCATGAGCTTTTCTGAAATGATATAACCAAGAATTCAAATAATTAAAATCACTTGATCTCCTTTTGATTTGTTGAGAGTGAAATTGCAAGTAACACCTCTATGAGGAATGATTCTCATTTGTACTGCAGATGAACTAGCTGCTGCTATCCCTAAAGTAAGAAATCCAAAGATCTGTTCTTTTTTTTCTCTATGCCTCCTCATGATGCTCCTGTGACCTGAAGGTGTTGCTTTCTATCTGTTGCAATGATGCAGTTTATTCCCTCCTTGCAAAAGAAATAGCCATAGAAATTTAAGAAACACAATCCATTTTTAATAGTCTAGCCAACTTCATGTATTGCCCTTCACTTTACAGATGCAAGCAAAAGTATGAGGGCCTTTATATTTTGATCATTGCCAATGACTTGATTATTGGAACAGCAAAAGACAGTCACTCATGGCAGACAGGGTGACAAAAGGCTGATAGAGGAAAGTTTAATATCAGCTTCTACTACTTCTCAGCAGTGTTTAGGGACAGGCCTGGCCTGTTTGTGATGGTGTTCTTGGTCAAAGAACAATCTTGTTTATCTGCCAGGACTGACATTACACCTCAATTTCCTCTTATAGAATGAAGCCTTTTTTTGTTCAATTTTTGAGCACAATACCAAAACCGGTGTGACATTTCCAATGAGACTTTGCCACAGTAAAAGTAACTGCAGAGGATGTTTTCAAGTACAGCACCACATGGGAAGGTATGTTGTATGTGTGTTAACTCATTTACTCCAGGGTATGGTGCCCTGTATTTCATCTGCACTGGCAATGAAAAGCAGAAATCAGTGCTCAGATAAACTTCTAAAAAGTCTCCTCTCTCCTCTGTTGGAAAGTATTTGGCCATCACTGAAAGGGCAGCAGGGGAAAGTACAGTTTTTTAAGTCCTGTGGACCTTGCTTGAGAAAAACCTAAAAGCCATAAGGGTAGATCGCTAAAGAATCTGAGGTAGAATGCAGTCATGGAGTTTTCTGATTTACTTCCCCTCTTAGTCTTTTCCTTGGGGTATAGGTTTTCTTGAGGAGACGACAGTCTCTTACTCTCAAGTCTAGGTGACACATGATACATGGTTCCTTCTCAGAGAAAAATGTTCTACTATTTTCTTAATTAAAATAAATCTGAAATAAATATTTTACTTACCAATTTTATACAAGTCAATGTACTCATCATAGAACTGAATCAGGGAGTCTTTGCTAGACCCATTCACCAGGAAATAAGCTTTTTCAGTCCCTATGCTCACGTTTTGGAAGATACATCCCACATTTCTGCAGTTTTCATCTTTAATGTAAAGCTCACACTCCATCTCCTCTTCATCTCTGCACACAGCAAAGTATTCTAGTTAAACATGGGCACTGTGATGTGTGCAATGAGAATTCAGAACTCCCCGGACCAAAGAGACCTCCTTACCTTGACTTCTGCCAGTAGAGAAAATACTGTGTGTCTGCTGGAGCTTCCCTTCCTGCCTGCCAAGTGCAGTTCATGAGGAAAATGTTATAAATCACACAGGAGAAGTTTTCAATGGCTGACCCATTCATGCCTGCAAACACAGGAATATCCATGATGAGGAAAACTCATGTGACTCCTCCAAGCTGGAGGATCATGGCACACACTTAGATATGTTAGACTCCAGCTGGTTATTCCTGGGTTAAGGAATGACCCATTTCATTTTGTTTGCTAACACTGAAAGATCTTTGCCCTGACAGATTCAATGAAGAATTTTCTATGGACAGATCCTCCAAAGGTGTGATTATAGATGCAGCAAAACAATTTGTGTGAGGAAAAAAAGCTGGCAATTTCAGGAGCACTGCATAAACTTTATAGGCATACATTGGATGGCTGCTATTTTAAGGTCTAAAGATTGTTTTTCTATCTGTTATATACAAAAGTTAGGGATGAATGGATGTCAGGCTAGTGGGTAAATAGCAGCAAGCAGAAAATATTAAAATAGGTCACAGTAACATCAAGTTACCCAATGTTGAATATGGTAAGTTTGCTGAGGGTGTTCATGCACTTTCAAGGATGTAGATCAGATACAAGGAAGAAAACCTTTACTGTGAGGGCACTGAGGCAATGGAACAGGTTGCCCAGAGAAGCCTGCGTGCACTATCCTTGGAAGTATTCAAGGCTGAGTTTGTTGGGGCATAGAGCAACCAGCTGTACTGGAACATGTTCCTGGAGGGGTTGGAACTAAATGATCTTCAAGGTCCTCTCCAACCCAAATCATTCTGTGAGTATGATTCTATGACTGAGGAACAGTTTCTCATTTCTAAAATTTCAGTATCAAACCCAGTAAAGAATCAAAATTGTGTCTAGGATCTTTCTTAGCATGCAGCAGGTACTTTATTTGTAAAAAAACTTCATTCAACTTAGTCCCATATATTCCTCTCACAGCTTTTTAAATTTTGTCTGGGGCATCCAGACACACCCTCCAGTCTTAGACTTCCTTAGAGACTCAGTAAATTCCTCAGCAAACAAAACAGTTGGAAAGAAGAAGATGGACCTACCTTTTATTTCAAAATGTCTTTACCTCGTTTATCTTTCTATTACAGTCTTCAGATTCAGAGAAGATGGAAAGACTATATTTTAAAAGGCTGTATAACTATAAATAGGGCTGTCTCCCTTGCTGCTTGTGTTTTGGGGAACCATCTTAGCATCGGAAGTGTTGCAAAATTAATGTTCATCACTTCCTCCCTGATTCATAGCAGATGTTGTAATTGCCCAACTTGGGACTTCTTATAACATGAACAAGAAGTTAGCTGGTTAAATTTCCCCTTTTGTAGCATGAGAGTATGCTGGTGTTTGGGAATCCAGAAAGTGCATAAAAAGATTTACTTTTACAGGTATTTCTCTCTATCTCTAAACAGTACTGAGAAGTACAAAGCATCTCTCCATAAAATCTATCTCTGGGGGATTCTCCATGGAGGGCATCAGGGTGAGGTCTGGCAGTCCCAGCCCACCCCATCTCCAGCCCAGATCAGGGCAGCTGTGGACCCAGGGCAGCCCCATCCTGGACCACCAGGCACCTCCCTGGGGATGGCTCATGGGCCTGAGGGTGGGCCCTTGGCAGGGCAGGGCTGTGGGAGCCCGGAGACTGTCCTTGCTGTGTTATCACTGGGCAGGGGCTGATGGATCCAGGGGGCTGATGTGGGGTCCTGGGCTCTGGGCAGGGTGGGGGAACTGGGCAGGGATAGCCAGGTTTGTGGGGGGTTCTCAGGGAAATGACAATGTAAACTGTTAAGTGTTTGAGCAGAAGGAAAAAGGGGATTTCAAATATTGGATATTATGTCTACAAATAAGATATAACATTACTAAAAAGTGTGGTGTGGGTTTGTCCTCAATCCATTTCTCCCAATGTGAAAATAGCCAAACTACAAACCACCACTAAAACATAAAAAAAAAAAAAAAAAAAAAAAGCAGGTTGTAAGCATCCAACTACAAATAGTCACTCCAGGCCCTGCTGTTGAGCACTTGTTACCTTCTTGGGTCACAGCTGTGCATTACCTAAAGAGGAGGGTTATTATAAACAGTATAAAACATCAAGAGCTCCTTTACACCCTGAAAGGATTTGTTTCACAGAGGACAGTGTAACTTGCTTAATACAGAGATTTAAAATCCTTGTAAAGTAATTTCATTTCTTCACATTGAAATTGAAGTATCACTAGAAAATATGAAATTTTTCAAACACCAGGAATATCAACATTTTCGTCTTAAAAACGCGCAGATCCTTCTTGCTTGGAGTTGGAAACTTGTAGGAAAGATAACAGTACATGCACTTCTCTAACACTCCTATTTCTTGGCTACTATGTATGGAAAAATTCACCTGTTGCCTAACAGTCTCCCAGGATGCTCCAGGAACTGCCTTTATTGAAATCCCGATGCCTTTCCAATCCTGTAGCTCCTTTTTGGACATATGGAATGATTTAACCATATGAGCAGTAGTTCTAATATATCATACTATTCATACATAATTAGGATACAGTTATGTTCTAGAGAGGAAGCTGAAGGTAGCACAGTGCTGTCTTTCCTTGGAGACAAAGAGGGCTTACCTTCTGGAGACCCAGAAATGCCTGGGCTCATGAGTATTTCTGCTTCCTGGGTCTGGCTGTAGTGGGACTGGTGACTGATGAGCTAGAAGCAGACAGTCATTTTCTGGGTTCATTATCTCATGTTGATTGTAAATATTAGTTATACTGAGGTGTTGCTGGGCCCAGCCAACACCACAAAGTGCATGTCTGACATGCTTTCTTCTCCTCAGCACGCGTAGTATAAAAAGTGAACAGGTGAAGTGAAGCAAGTCTACTCATCATATTGGAAACTGTTTCTCAAAATTATTCTCAACCACAAAATAAAAAGAAACCAAAAACAAACCTATCTCGCTTCTGCTCACATGTGGTACTAACAGCATAGAGCAAGGCATGAAAAAAGAACCAATGAATTAAGTGGCACTCTGTGGTTGTGCTCATGCATTTAATCTCATCTGTTAATAACTTAGGGTTACAGTGTTAACTGAGGAGATGAAGAACTCACTTTAAGCATCCAGAACTTCAAAAACTCCAGTCATCCATAGAATCAAGAACCACGAGAGAATCAACAGGTCTTTTGTGCCTGGTCTTTTGTGGTTTCAGAGGTAAAGATCTAAGGCAATGTTGGCTCTATAAGGACCAATTCATGGATGTTCACTCTTTTCATATGCTAGTAGAGAATAAAAGTATGACAAAGTTTTTCTGAAGCATATCTGTGAGAAAAAGGGTGGGAATGACAAGCACATATGTATAGGTGGATATTCTACCTTAAAAGCAGATTTAGTCAAATGAGCATCTCATTTTGGTAAGAATCACTATGACTACCCCTACCACATTATAGATGCCAACAGACAAAGCAAATGAAAGCTTGGACATCAGGTCTGAGCCCATGATACTTATTCAGAGGTAAAAGCAGCCCATTCTCAGAAGTTTCACTGTAATTCCAGATTAAATGAATTCCATACATAACTGTGTACATAATTTTTTGAACACTGACTGTGCTGTAAAGACATAAGAAAGGACTTCTGATCACAAAGAGTGTAAAACCCCACAGTTTATTGTGTCCTGATCTTTGGAAGAAAACAATTTTGTGGTGGTAACATACTGAGTTTCATGGAGAAGGGTAGTGAAAAGTACCCAAGTGATAAAATCAGAGCCATAAGAAGTGTCATGGAAGTCAAATGGGACTCTGGAAAATTAAGGAAGTCAGAATTTTCATTTGCCTGCTTTTCCATGCTCCCACTCTGAAGATCTCTTGAGCCTGCAGAGAAAGCAGCAGGGAAGCAGTGTGTTTCTGTGTGCTCTCTCACATTATGTATCTCTGAAACAGTGAGGAAGTTTGAGGTTTTTGGGATTTGGCTGCTTTGCTTTTCAACTGGAATTAATACAGCAGAACAATCCAAACAGCCCAGAAGGACAGTAGTGTTTTTGCAGAAAAGGGAGTTGTTCTACCCAAGGGATTTCTTTTCTTGTCTATATTTAGGGCAACTTCTTACCTAAGGCTTTCAAAAATGCAAATAAATGAAACACATTTTAAAAATTCCCATGTAAAGAGGGTGCTACTGAGGATGCTACCAAAATCTGTCATTTTTCAGAGACCAGAAAACTTGAGTTGCCTTGCTATTCCCCGGGAGCTGGAAGCAAAATGAGAAATGAGAAAGAGAAAGAGAAAGAGAAAAAAGAGTAAAGAAGAGAAGAGAAACCTGGGGAGAGACACTAGGGCTGTTTACAGACTTTTGGCTCTACAGGGAGTGAAGTTGTTGCAGAAACAGTATCAAACCAACATTTCTTAAAAATCACAAACCTGGAAGAATAATTTATTGCTCCAACAAAAATAGGAGTGTTCACAAGAACTGTCTGGTGTTTTGCTGTACTGATGTGTTGCAGCTTTTGTGTATGTCACAAAAATACAAACAAGAACCCTAATTGTTTCCTTGCAGCAAGAACTTTCTAGTCTTTAGCCTAGAACAGAGGAATAGCCATAGGAGACCAGAATAAAGGACTTCTTCCTGCTGGAGCATCCAAGGCATTTAGTTAATAGATTCTAAAGCCTGACCATCCTTTCCTACTAATTTTCGGGTCTTTGCCCAGGGATGGGGAAGTGATACCTTAGTACCACACCTACTACCACCTCCATTGTTTCATGGATATGATTTATGGTTTTCTCATTAGTGTGCTGGTAGTGAACAAGTGTTCTTAATGATTTTTCTGTTTCAGCAGCTTTCACAGTGAAAGCAGTGGGGATGTAAGGGGGTGCACCAATGACCATGATCAGCTCTGTGCCAAGCAGGATGGAGAGGATCCAGTAGACTGGATTTGTTTAATTGTCCTTGGATTACAATGAGTCTTGGCTTTAGTTTTCCTACTTGATGCAGGTGCTTTTATCTTTTGGCAATTATAACTTAAGTAGAAGGGTCCTTCTCTGGTTCTGTTTTAAAAAGAAAATAAAAATAAGGTTTTATTGAAAGCTCATTTAGAAACACAGAATCACAGTAAAATTTAGTTCTAACATTGATCTCTTGACAGTAACCTGGTCTAGTGGAATTTTATCACTGAGAGGACTTTATTTTCCATAATAGGATTTTATGAGGTCACTTTAACCATCTTGAGACTTGATGGAATTATAGAATTATAGCCTGAGTTGGAAATGACTCTCAAGAGTCATTGAGTTCAACTCTTAGACCTGCTCAGGACAGCCCCAAGAGTCACACCATGTGCCTGAGAGTGTTGTCCAAATGCTGCTCGAACTCTGTCAGGCTGGTGCTGAGACCACTTCCCTGGGGAGCTGTTCCGGTGCCCAACCACCCTCTTAACCACCACATTCTCTTAATACCCAACATAAGCCTCTCTTGACACAGCTTCAGGCCATTCCCTCGGGTCCTGTCACTGGTCACCAAAGAATGACCAGTGCCTGCCTTTCTGCTTTCCCTCTTGAGGAAGTTTTTGACTGCAATGAGGTCTTCCCTCAGTCTCCTCCAGGCTGAACAGACCAAATGACTTCAGCTGTTTCTCATACAGCTTCTCCTTAAGGCCCTCCACCATCTTTGTAGCCATCCCTTCTTTGGACTCTCTAGAATGGCTTTATGTCTTACGTTGTGGCAACCAAAACTTCACACCGGACTTGAGATGAGGCTGCTCCAGAGCAGAGCAGGACAATCCCCTCCCTTGCACAGCTGGCCATGCTGTGTCTGACGTAGCTTAGGACAAGGTTGGCCCTCCTGGCTGCCAGGGTGGGACTGACTCATATTGAATTTCACGCAACTGGAAGGTCAGAATATGGGATTAGCTCCGAAATTGAGGGTTTTCTCTCATATCTCCTTATTAATTGGAGGATTCAGGCTGTTATACTTCTGTTTCATCCAGATGTTATAAAAGCACACAACTAGCTTGTAACTTTTGCAATTAGCAAGTGGCAGACTTCTGCTGGAGAGTTCAAAAGTTCAATTTCCAACATTTCCCACTCAATACATATACATGTGTACATCTGCTACCTGTTAGCAATCATATATTAATTAATTTTTTCATCTAACACAGAAGGAAGGGATGAAAAATGGGAGGCAACAAATAGAGTTATGGGAAAACTGTATCCTGAGCTCTTTAATAGTACTCACTTTTTATGAGCAAATGATTTTTCTTAAGAGGCTTGGCTGACCTTCATACAGTGGACATTCATACAGATGTCAAATTTTATTTGTGATCACAATTTCAGAAAGGCTGTACATTTTTCAAGACACTAAACCAATGGAGATCCTGAATAAACCCCTTAAGTTTGGTTGTTCTTACTTATTCTTTTGCATGGTGTTGAAAAACAGTATAACTTCCAAAGCAATACTGAATTTTTTTTTTTTAATGAAATACTGTGATATTCATCTCAATAAAAACCAGAAATATTCAAAACTTAACTGTTCATAGAAAATGCAACCAAATACATGGAGGCTTTTAGAGATAAGATCTTGGGGAACTGTCTCTACAGACAGTGCTCTTCTCCCTGCTTCCAGGAGTGAGAGAATATGAAAAACTTCTTAATTGTTGCCAACAAGGTGTATGTGCTTGAAAAAAACCAAGTTTCTCATTTCACTTGCATTCCATCACTTCTTCAATATCAATTATTTCTTCAGTTTCTTGTTTGTTTAATAGATTAATATATTCTGTCTAGTAAAGGAAGAATATAACATTTTGTTAGTGTTTCATGCATGAGATTAGTCACAAGGTCATGCCTTATGAATTTCCTGTCATTCAAATTTGTTATTTATTGTATAAAACCTGTAACAGGACTCTGACAATTAGAAGACCAAAGTAGACATGACTAGATCTTCCCTCCATATAGCTTCCAAAGAACAAAGACTTTTCAACTAAAAAGCTGGGAAAATCATCTTTTAAAGCATAGAAAAGTTAACATGATGAAGGAAGAAAAATGAAAAGTATTTATGAAGGCTCACCAGTAATTCAGTGTGTTCCTGCCGACAAATTTTGTCTTCCAGACCTGCCTGTAGCCAACCTAAAGACTTTGCAAATTGCAGCAAACATGCTCTCTAGAAGGGCAGTTCCTTCAGTGTTTGTCTGTTCCTTCTCATGAGTCATTCCAGCATTCCACATAATTTAGCACCTCTCAACATTCTGCTCTATTTTCTTGCTTACCATACCCTAGAAACCTTTACCTCCTTCAGCATCATTACCAAATACTAACATGGCAAAACTACTGAAGATTCCTTCTCTCCCTGACTGATTCTGCTGAGAAACTTATGCTCAGCATTATTTTAGTGACAGCATATGGTTTATAGGGAGAGCAGGGTGAAGCTGTATTTTGTCCAATGCCCCAGGTAGGCAGATGACAATTATTTCATAATGGATGGTAAAACAAGTAATTTGCAGATGGACTTTGTCCATATTTCAAGAACAAGAACAAGAAAGAAAATTGATTCTTGCTTGCGTGCATCTTTCTGACGGTTAGGTCATAGATTTGAGACTAAATTTTTAAATTTAGGGCATAAAATTTAGAGCATGAAGCATACCTGGAAGGCCACTGGAGAGGGCTCATGGAATGGGTCTCTTGGCTGTGGTACTGAAGCAGATGTTTTTTTCAAATAAGCCCTTTTACAGTGACAAAAAGGTTTGGTGAAAAAAAGACTTAGTTTGCAAATGCATGAACACATACTATATGATAATGCTCCTGAGGTACTATTTTATTTCTCTGAGACATAAGTAGTGTTCTTCTAATTCCAAAGGAGCTAAAAATTACATAGGCTGAATACAATGTTATAATTTTGTTGTCCAGAATTTGGACGACAATAATTTATTTTATGACTTACTAAGACTTCATAGGAAGTTGCTTTTTTGAGTATGTGGAAAGAAAATGTCAAAACATGGAAAAAATTTCATGTAACACACATCTACATTACAGGGTCTGATGGTAGGAAAGAGGTGCTGATATAAGGCCTTGTACCAGTATTGGAAAGCATTGTGTTATATTAATCACTTGATTAATATAATCAAGTGATTATATTAATATGATACATATCAAGGATAAGAAAGTTTGGAATCAGAAGTATATAAAGCACACTTGAGGAACATCCAGCAGATTATTCCTAGTGTAGCTCAGTGTCAATTTTCTCCCTCCCTTTTCTCCTTTTAAAAAGAAGCCAGAAATTTTCTACTGGGGAAAAAAGTGTTATTTCAACAATAGAATAAAAATTTTGCACAAGAAATAAGGCTTACACTGTCATGCAGATGAAAAATGCGAGACCTGCTGCCAGCCCTGGTATCAGAAATAGCATATATGATGAAGTAGGTGTAAGTTGTGTTCCTGAAAATCAAGCAACCATCAAAGTGTTGGTTAGCATCACAGGACATGAATGATAGCACAGCTATGTGCAACCTGTTTTTCATCAGGGTGTCAAACACTGTATGAAGGGATGACTTCTTTAGCTCAGCACTTCACTGCCCTGTAGCATGCAAAGGAATAGAATGGCTGAACAGTTTGTGGACTGTCCACAGGAACCTGACACCTGAGGACCTGAGTCCTGCAGAGTATTTAAATATCTGAGGTGGCAGAGAGCAACAGCAGGAGAAAGGAGTTTATAAAGTCAGGAGCAAGGACTGGAGAAGTAAAACAGCTGGCAATAGAGCTCAAAAAGTTCTGCTTCATTCACTCTCCCCGTGCAAGAAGAACTGTCTCCCAAGAATGACTGGAGAACTCCCTAAGATTAAGGGATATGGCAATTCTTCAACTCTCTTTGTCCTAACAAATTAATATTCAATTATCAATGTGTGTACATCTGTAAGCATGAAGTAAAAAAATGAGGCAGACAGGTAATAACTGAACAAAGTCAAGGAAGGGATTTTTATTCTTACCAAATTCCACAGGCGTACTCCACTCTCCCCAGTCTGGGCTTACGAAACAAAAGCCCGCGTCTGTTGCTCTGATTCTGATGCTGTACTTTTTACCTGAGCTGAAGCTTTCATAGAGGTAGGAATTATTTTCAACGATTTCTTCCTAAATGCAAAATAAGTAGAATGAGAATTCTGGTATTATTTTTATATAATTATGATAAAATTGTATATTTTGTATTTCTATAATATTTCTGTGGCCAAACTAGAGTGAAATAATAAGTAGTGAAATATCCTTTAGTATTGTTTCATCTTAGTTCCTCTTTTTTGAATATTTTTATCATTGGGTAATATGAAGATGAAATTTGCTGTATGCTTCCCTGGCTCCTTAGAATTTGCTAAGCAATGGGACTTTAGGGAAAAAAATATCTAATGATCTGTTCATTACAGTGGATGTTTTCAAAACTGAAGTAGAGTTCGATAGCCAGATTTTACAGAAGTAAAAAGTTGACTTTTTTTTTCCCCTGCCATCTTTACATTGGCTTAGTCTTTGAGGTAATATTTTCTTGCCTCTTACATCTCAATCCTTTCCAGATAGTATTAAAAAAGAAAAAATTCTTCACATTTTTTGTGTTACACAGAATCATGATCCGTGTTTTTACATATATGTGAATCTGCTAGGAAGTAAAAAAGAATGTAAAATGGAAGATTATGTGAAGTAATATCAAATTCCACATGTGCAGGTGTTTTTGTACCAAGTTTTATAAACAACAGTTTTAAACTTCAGATTTAGAAAACTTATCAATTATGAGCACGTGTAGTACATTGAAACAGGTAGTGTGAAACCAAACCAATTTGGTTAATACAGAAGTAATTTCATACAGCATAAATGTAAGATTAATACAGACTTACTCTTTTAGATGCAGTTTTGATTTTTTTCTCAACATCAGCCTAGCAACAAGAGAAAAGTTTAATTTTTAGGATTATTATTTTTGTTACTATATAATAAAGGGTCTTCTCTCATGAATGTTTGATTTTCATAAAGAAAAGGTTTATGTAATATTTAAAATGCCTTCTTTTAAAGATTGTGAAATTTAAGCTCTTTTTCCACTGAGTGGTTTTGTTCTCCCCACTGATGCTCTGGAATATTGTACCATTTAAATTTTATTTCAGAACTGAATATCAAAGCACTAAATAACAAAAGAAAAACACTCAAGTTGACAACATGTTTACATTTTAATAGTTAAAAAAAAGTATCTAAAATTTACGAATAAACTTGGACAATGTTTTTTCCTTTTTTTTTTTTACTGTGTATATTTTACATTCTTAAACATTAAATTTAACTAAGTTATGTTTCCTTTTTTTTTATTTTTAATTTTTTACTGTTGGAACAAGAAGTTCACAAATATTCTGAGAAATATTTTGAACTTTACTTTTGAAGGATGTAATATAACTTTCCATATTCATCCAAGCTTTCAAAAGGAGAGGATGAGAACAGAGTACTGGTTGTATGGCGTTATGTGTGGAAATAGAGACAAAAAAACCACTCTTAAATGTCATAATTATTCTTACCTTGTTTTCTATGGCAATTTCATATTTGAAACAACTACTTTTTTTCACATGACTTGTGCGGGGTGGTTGCCACCAAATATTGCAACTATGAGAAGCTTCTGTACAGTTCACTGTGACATTTAATGGAGGGGTGAGTTTTTCTACAATAATATAATCAGAAATACTGTTGTTTAGTAACAGCTCTCTTCACTCTGCCATTTTAAAAATATGGGTAGATGTTCAAGCAACTGATCTAAAAATATGTAATGCAACTTTAGCAGAATTTCTATATTGTCCCCATATTCTGAAGCAGGACCCCATAATTTAACGTTCCAGTTGAGGGGCCTGGAACACCAGCTGCAACAGTAAGGAAAACTAAAACACAAGCCACTTATTACATTTTACTGAATTCAGCATGTGATTTATGCAGGTTTGGTTTTATTTATTGGGTTTAAGGTTTTTTTTTTTAATATTGTATTCAAACCAAACAGAATTTTTTATTAGCATTCTTCCCTTTAAAAAAAAGGAAGTTTTTGGTCACAGCATTAAGGTAACTGGTTCTTTTCATTATGTGGATGAACAGCATTATAAGATAATAAGACCAACATCTAGATAGTCCCACTCAGGAATCCTTAGCTAGTTAATTTTAAAAGATGGCACCTTTCTCTCAGGGAATAAATATTTGACTGAAATGTCCAAAATTTTCTGACCTATAATTCCAGATTGTTTCTGTCTTCATTAGTTTTTATCAATTTTTGTATTTTAGGACTGAGAAAAAGGAAAAAAAAACAAAACCCAAACCTATTATGGGGAGCAGTATTTTTAAAATGTATGTTTTTTCCCAGGGATGAATTCTTAATTCTTTTAACATATAACTGGAAATGAAATCAACAAAAATTGCTTACCAATTTGGTACAGCCATATCTTCTCCCAATATGACTGAATGTTTTGTCTGCTTCTGGACCCATTTACCAGGAAATAAGCATATTTATTTTCTATTGTCACGTTTTGAAATCGACATCCTGTGTGCCTTCCACAGTTATCTTTGACGTAATTTTGGCATTCTGTGACATCTTCATTCCTTTACATGAAGTATTGTATTAAAAAAAAAGACAATGTCACATGTCCAACCACAAATCAAAATTCCCAATATTCAAGTGGATCTACTTACTCTGAGGGCCTCCAGTACAGGAAATATTGGGTATCTTCTGTAGCAGTCCTGCCCACATCCCAGGTACAGTTCATGAAGGAAACATTAAAAATGACACAGACAAAATTTTCAATGGCTGTCCCATTCATGCCTGCAAACACAGAAAGATCCCATTCCCACTCTGCAGAAAGACTGAATAACTGCTCAAATAACACAGACCTTTGCAAGGTCATTTAGTCATTTTTTAACTACCTGCTTGGCAAATCCAACTGTATATCGTTTCAATCTTGTGGCTTTGTCCTTACTTGAAGTTGGCAGTGATTTTTCTTGTGTTGAGCCATGAGGATTATCAATAATTGTTCCAGAAGCCATAGATGTGACTGGGTTTTAACTGAGATTTTGATCAACTCAAGCATAGGGACTTAGTGGAAGTTAATTACAGAGACAGTCACCGTGGTGTCCTCTGTTTAGATCTCCTGTTTAGCTGAGGCCCAGTCTACAGTGGAATGTAAATTCCACAGCCATGAGCAGGATGGCAAAATTCTTTCTGCTGTGCTTAAGTGCTCTGAATCGTGGTTATAAAGCCCTAATAATTTAAATGAGATGTCCACCACTTTCTTCAGTGTGACAACTGGCTGGTTACAATCTAACCCTGACACTGCTTAGCCTCCTGAAGCTAATTCCTGCACAAGTGGTGCAATTTCAAAGAGAGAATGATATATTTTTCAATTAGGAATTGAAACTGGCTGTTAATCTGTTCCAGTGCTTTGAATTCAAGGATAGGGAGAATCTTATTAGCACTGAATTTGACAGAAACAGGCCTGAATATCCATATAATTAGTGTAAAATCAGGACAAAGCTTAAGCAGAAGTTTATAGCTTGCTTAAGTTAACTCACAACCTGTGCTCACAACCTGAATGGATTCCTTGTGTGCTCTTCCCCTACCAAAAGGTGATATCTCCAACAGGAAATAATAACATTCAGTACCTCAACAGCTGTCATTGTGAATTGAAGGACTGGGCCACAGCTCTCCAAGACCAATCCAACCCTTGTTCATTGAGTTTAAGCACCACACACACAAGCTTTGCATGTACCTCTCTAGTTAGCCCTAAATCTCCAAATCTGATTCTTACGTCTTTGGAAAAAAAAGAGGAATTTTTAAAGACAAAGTTGTCAGAGTGCTCCTGGATTTCTAGAAATATTTTTCTCTTCCAGAAGGAAGGTTGAAACTTTTTCAAGTGCTTGGTTCAGCAGCATTTCTTCCAATGGCAGTGTTAGCCTAGGCATGCCCTGTCCTTTCCCATCCTTCATCAATCCTGCATGATTCCATCCTGCCCCCTTGACTAATGTTACTTCTTGTAGGGCCCTGTAGTGAGTAGTTTTGAACAAGTGATCATCTTTACAACTAATGCTCCACTCAGTAGTGTTTTGTTTTGTTTTTTTTGTTTGTGTTTTTTGTGTTGTTTTTTTTTTTCTTTTTGGTTGTTTATTTTTTTTCATCCTCTATCAGAAGTAGTGGAACAAGCTCATCTGAGATGACAGTGTGGGCTAGCAACTAAGAGAAGAGTTGCCTAAACTATTTCTGTAGCTGTAATAAACACTGACCCATACTTGGTCACTAGAGGTATCAAAGCTCTCAACATAGGGTTTTTCACACCCAATTTATGTGTAAGTTTATATATATTTAACAAACTATTTTTAAGAGTTCAGTGATTACAGTACTGTGATAAGGTGATGGTGAGTTTGGATCAGATCTCTGGTCTGCCACAGATTCACTTTATGACCCAGGGCCAACCCAGTCTGTGCATTTCACTTCCTCATTTACAAAACAAATAGAGAAATTGTCTTCCCATGAAGAAATTGCTGGGTAAATGCAGCAGTCTGAAGTATGATCACAGGTGCTGTGCAAGGGTCTTAGAGAGATGAGCTTCTTCAAGCCTTTAGCAATGCTGTAAATCTAAAGAAAAAATGGGTTATTCTGATTTTAAATCAGTTCACAACCTGGTTCCTGTGTGGGCCAACAAGCAGTTGAAGTGTTCAACAGCAAAGGAAATATTCAGGCATATGCTGTGAATATGAGTCTCTCTATACCTGTTGCTGACTGGACCATTTTCCCAAGGTTTTAGGGAATTTATTTTTAATTTTTTCTTTATTCATATTTCTGTGGTTATGCCAAAGAAAACATAGCAAAATATATAAATACCACTACCCTTTCTGTAAGGATTATTTTTGAGCATATTCTATTCATCCAACACTGTCAGTGTTACCTTTTTATTTTTAGCAATACCTGGAATAGATCTAAGTATTCATGACACTTTCATCTCACATTATTTCAAAGAGATACTGATATTTTTCTGCCTCCAGTTTATACTAAGGACTAGCTAAATTTTTCTGGTGTCTTTTTGCTTAACCACTCCTATTTGAAATGCCCCATATTTGTCACTTACATATGTGCATTTCCTTAAAAAATGGTAGGACCATATGCTTATCAGTCTTTTCTGTGAGTTCTAATGCAAAAACCAGTTTAGTTTCTCTGTATAGTACTCATCCTTCTGAACTTCCTCCTGTATTATTTGATGATGATAGTAAAATACATATGCAAGTATGTTAATATCCTCTGAAGCATCCTTTTTTTCAGAAACAAATAACATATTTTACTATCTTTAGATATATTTAAAATCTTTCACATCCTTTTCATAAAAAAGGTAAGATACGTAACTGAGATGTGACAATGATTGCACACAACTGCATAAAATCCACTATTTCAAGTACACAGAGTGCTTTAATTTATTTTTTTTTTGTTTGCTTGTTTATTTATGTCTATTTTGTCAGCTTAGTTGATCTCCATCTCTTGGGCAGACATCAGAAACAATGTAGGCACCTTAGCTTCAGAAAAACATCAGAGAGAAGAAAATGTGACTCTGCAGACACTTGTGGTTAGCGACATTACTAGCAGGGAAGGACAGGATCTCACCTTTTGGTCTTGAGCCCAACAGAATTTTTTACTTTTATTCACTGATTCTTCAATTAAAAAAATGTATAAACTGTTGATTCTTAGACATAATTGATCAGATGCTTTATAAAAGATGTTAAATAACATACTTGATATTGGAAATTAAAAAACAAACAAACCAAAAAAAATAATTCAATTACTTTAACTTTTCAACCTAACTCTGAAGATGCTGTTAGGTGTAAGATGGAGTTTGTCTCACCCATACTGAAAAGCTGTATAGGGGAACCAGTAATTCTATACTGCCTTAACACTATCTGGAAAAAACCCAGCTACTTTAGACACAGTTTATTCAATCTAGTCTAGTACAAGATGAATGAAAGCTTTACTAAATTTATTTTTTTGTCATTCACCAAACAAATAGCCCAGAGGAATCTCTCTAATTCTGAGCTATCCACCTTTGTCAGCTAAATCCAAGAGGACTTGTTCCTTTCCTTTCTTGCATCATCTGGAATTCATATGTAATTACTAAACAAAAATACTGCCACGATTATTTTCTGCATTGAAAAGTTATAATTGAAAATGCCTTTTTCTCTTCATTCTTATACCTGTGCAAGTATCATGTGCTGCTTCTCTTTAGAAAAATAGTTCCAGTGGAAGAACAGTGTTATTTTTCCCAGAGATGTTTCAAACTTCTTTTTACATCTCAAACAGTTCCTGTGCAGATTATTGATGAAAATCTTTAGGAAAACTAAAGTATTTCTGTGTGAAATTATTTCCTTCTTGTCAAGTTGTTTATAAAGTTTCTATGAAAATTGGCTGCTGCTAGAATCTGTGCTACAGCACAAGTTATTTCTCAGAGATGCCTGAACCCTAACACCCTCCCAGAGGGGTAGTTATGAGTTCAGAAGCTGAAATGCTACTGCTGTGTCTAATCTCATCTAGGCTGATTGGAGAGGTGTTTAGATGAGAATAAAAACTGTCCAAAAAAACCCCCAAAACTTATACTTTGTTTTTAATAGGACTATTTCTGTTAAGGGGAAGTCTGTGTTGAGTACAGTACATTACACTAGACCTCTGAGGTTCATTTCCCAGCTTTGACTCTGAAAGAGTTTGAAAGATATTTTTGTCAGTTGGAAAATATGAAATGAAAATATGAAAATATGCTTCCATGTAGGATGTGCTATGAGGGTAAAATTATGCCTGCATTCCTGAAGCATTTTCAGGGAATTGTATATACGAAATCTTCTAAAGTATTAAAATCATGAAAGAGAAAGGACACTGACATACTTCCATTCTACTGGTGTCTAAATGCAGTAGTCCTAAAAGAGTTCACTCCATTTAGTGATTTTACTCTATGGATGGAAAGACCTAAAATCCAAACGTTTCCAATTTGATTGTATTTTCAAAAGAAAGTGACACAGGCTCTCCAATTCAGTAATTCAGGTTTAGCTTAACAAAATACTGCTATGTGGATGAGGCCAGTAACACTGGAAACACTGCAAACTTTAAAATATAAACACAATTATTTTAATATTTTAAAAAAAGTATGCCATCAAAATACTGGTTAAGACATTCATCAGAGTGAAGCAGGCACTTGCTATCAGGTAGTGTCTATTCATCCATCACAGTTATTTTAACATTAAAACTAGCAGAAATGACAGAACGCAGTATTTCCTTGCCTAGCTCCTTTGGAGTTAAGTAAAAGAGAAACAGAAAAGAAAATAGAAAAGAAAAACTGACAAAATTAAACCTACCTCCTCCTTGAAGACCTGTTTCCCTTTGGTTCTTAGAGTAATGGAGAACAAAAAGGATAGAAACTATGACTTTGCCTTGGTTTTTGCATGCTTTGACAATGCGATTTCATTGCCTCATTTCCCTTATCCTTACTTCCGTTAAACCATGGGGAGAAGCAGGGTCACTCCCTGCCTTGGGAGACAAATAGGTCACAACAGAGGGGCATCCTCTTCATTTCTTGATTCACATAATTTTCAGTCATTTCTGTCACACATTTTTCATACAGAGGTTTGTACAGGGCACCACCTGAAAGGTAGATGAACTCAGGTTTTCCTTCTGGCTCAGGTGTAGGTCAGGTATCATTGCCTCAAGCCACCCACTGTTTTTTGCTTATTGCTTAGGGATGCTGCCCTGTACAGGAGCATCAGCTCCCTGCTCTGGCCTGCAGAAGAGCTGCTCCCAGCTTTGCACTAGCCAGCCTCATTCCCCATAGGTGGGTAACAAACCATGTCACCAGTCTCAACAACCTTTCTGCTTTGTGTACACATTTTTCTGGGGTGGGTGAATTCAAAGCGCAGATCAGGGAAAGTTTCTGTATGTATGAAATGTCCCGAGTGTACCAAATTAGCAGTATGTCACTTGTCTGTGCTGGTGTCCTGGAACTGAGAAGCACAGAACCTGCTTTTTCATGTAGTCCATAGCACAGAGTACAGAGCCCCCAGTCTTCCTCATCTTTAAATATTTTTTATCAGGAAAATGGAGTCATTAAATAATTTAAATTAAAACAGCATTTAAATTAAATTATTTATAATGTTCATTGAGTGTACTTCTCTTTGGTAGTTATATCTCACTGGTAGAGTGGTAAATAATATAAAATCTGTTTTCCATCTGTTTGTCTGAATCTTGTACATCTTCATTCCCAACAGTCTTTGTTCTTGTTGCTCTTCTGGGCAGAGGGGGACTAGGTATGGGATGGTTCTTGAGATATTTCCTCTTCTTTAGGTCTCAATTCCTCAATTTTATTCATAGAGTAAACAGCAGGACATTATCATGTACCCTGCTATGACATTTCATTTCAGGACCTGCAGAAGTAAGGACTTCTGATTGCTCACTGTAGAGGAATTGAAAGAGGTCTGCTGGAAGACTGTGATAATACCAAAACTTTTGTAACTACTCATTTCCTGTAATTCTTGAAACTGGACTCTGCTCTGTTCTCAGAACAGAATTATTCTTGGAACCCTGAGTCCCAGCACTAGAGAAACTGGATGATGGTGGAACTGCCACAGTGAATTATGTTACCTGAAACTGAGCTGGAATAAAAGTCTCAATT